TCCGTGTCCTTCCTTCTTCGCCGACTCCGTCCACACCTTTGGGGACCCCTGGACCCGCTGGGGTTGGACCCCGGCAATGCACCATTTTTCTACTTCTGTAAGGTCATCCAAATCAATACTAAATAGTATGTATATACCCAAAGAATTTAGGTATAAGCAGGACTTTCCTAGAATTGGGTATTTCATTGCAATGACAGAGTTAGCCTTAAAAAACTAGTATATACATTTTAATATTTGAACTTCTATTTCACACATAACATTTTTATCTTCCTAAAGTCCAGTTTATATTTGCCAACAAGCCATGTACTTTTTTCTCTCTGAATTATTTCTACATTGTAGGTAGTTTGAGAAGAAAAAACAACAATATCTCCCTGTTAAAGATAATTTTAATAACCATTCAAAAAGTGAACTGAATAATTATTGTACTTGTTTTAAAAAGCATGAAAAAGTAAAGGGAAATAATGCAAAGTAGAAAATTCATGAATAGGTAATCACTTTCGATAGACAATAAGCAATGTTCTAATAAGCGTTGAGAAATAACTAATTAACTTTCCAGGTGAGTAAACATTTTGTATTCTTGAAGACCTAAAAGGAATCTAACAATAGTGAATAGCAATATGCTCCCAATTTTCAAAAGAAGATTAAAAGAACCCTGGTCCTCATTGTTTAGCTACAAAAAAAAATAATTTTTATTGTCCTAGAATATAAGAAAATAACAAATAGCTTTTGTTTATAAAGAGTCACTTAGTCTGAATAAATTTGATGGGTTGTTGATGAAGTTATAAAATGAATACAACACAAAGTACTCTGGATTCAATGCCTCGATGGTAATTAAACACTTGATAAAGCCCATGATCCTCTCACTATTTTAATTTAAGATGGCTTACATAACAAAAGTCAGCTAAGACTTTGCAACTAAAGGAAAAACAGAGATAAAAGCTATAAGTTGGTAAAAGCTATAGGAATTGGAGGCAGGGCCAAGTGAATCCCAATGATTTAGGAGTGGGCATATACCAAGCTACTAACTAAAATTTTGTTAGGACCTAAATTTTAAGTTACAGCAAATATGAGATTGTATATAAATGCCACAGGGAAATGAGGTGAGATCTTGGGAAATAATAACTATCTGGAGAAAATTTTTTAAAACTTGATCAATGTTGATTTCAAAACTGGGCCGAAACCTATAAAGTGGAAGCGATGCTTCAGAAAGCCTGAATCTGAGCTGAGATGGAAGGGACAGGTAGGGCAGGGTCATTAGGAAGAATCTACTTGAAAGGGTTAGTAATACAATATGATAGCAGAGAATTCTGGAGCCCAATGAAATTATTATTACTGCATTTAAAGTGCTCAGAATGGATGTGACAGAAAGGGCAAAGCCTAAACTGATTTGTAATAAGGATGTATTTTAAGTCATACCTTCTGCTGTACATGGTTTATTTCCCTTCAGATTACACCTCACCCAATTGAACAGAAGTCAACAGAAACATAAAATCTTTTGATTTTATGATCTCATGATCCAAAGAAGACTCAAAGTTCCAGCAGCCGCTCCTAGGACTACTTCTAGCTTTCTCCCTCCTCCTCAAGTGATGGGTTTTCCTTGATCTAAAGCTTCCTGGGCCAAAAGTTATCTCTGGAAGTACATCTCAGTGGGACGATCCCAAACATGCCTTAAGTGGTTGGGGTTCTTTTAATAACATGTAAGTCTGTTGATTTATAGTTATGAAGTCATAAACTGGAAATTTTCTGGTCTTTGCAGGATAGTGACTTCAAAGAGACTCTAGGGATATGTGGTACCTCTGAACTGAAACCAAATACCCATATTTTCTCTACAGATCAACAGTATCCTAAATAGTAAGAACCTCAACATGCTGATGGCTTTCATGCCTGGTACTGAGCATCAGCCAGTTATTTTTGTTTAAAAAGTATTATTATTGTCAGTATTACAGATGTCCCCCATTTCTCCCTCCACCCAACTCCTGCCAGCCAGTTATTCTTTCCTCAAATTCATAAAGTTAGTAAATATAAAATTCTATGGGGGAGATTATGTAAAAATAAATGTCTGCTAGCCATCATATCTTATTTTAAAAGTATGACTGCCCTCAACATTTTACAAGCTATTGATGATAGCTTTCTACATTGTAGTTTGTACTTTCCCATATCTTTGAAACATAAGGGTTTGAACCTGAAGGGTATCTAATCAACCTGTCTCCTCTTTGAGAGATGCAATGGTTTGGACCAAGTGACTGCAGTAGTTTCTGTCAACTAAATTCCATTTCAGTCCTTGAAACATTCTACCACCTTCTCTCTTCTTTTCACCTTATTGCTAAAAAATTACTATATTGGGGGGGGGGGAGTTTAGAATAAAAACAATGATGTGTATGCACATGGATGTGTATTTGTATTTCAAACAACAATGAATCTATACATTTCCTTTACATGCTTACTACATTGTTATGCATTAGATATGTAGCATTTGCATCACAAAAATTCTATTTTTATATGCTATGCTTCTCTGACAATATTATGATGAACTATCTTCTGTGTAAACCACTAAAAATGGCTTAATCACCAATCCAGGCTTTATTTAACTTGTACTCCATTTTACATGGTTTTAATTATTAAAATGCAGATTCATAAGATTCAACATTTACTAGCACTTTATCTTAGGAATTTATTTAGGAAACGTGGTATTATTCTGTGGTTTCATAAAAATAATAAATATCTCTGAGTAGATGGTAATTTCATGTTCATTTGCAGAGAGATTGAGCTACATTAGCAGTGCTATTTCACAACGCCCATAATCTTCTAAATTGACTTATTTGATGCTCTTCAGGATTTATTTTTCTAAAGACTTAGATTTCTATCTGTTTCTGCTTTTGAAATAGCTCTTCGTGATTGTGAATCCAACTAATGTAATTTTCACATTTGGTGCCATTTTTCTCAAATGACAATACAGAGCAGTAAAAACTATTTGAAAGTTCTTCATACCACCCTTGTACCTTGATTCAAAATATGGGTAAAATATAAGGAAAGGGGAAATAGGAAGAGTTGAAGGTCTCTGTGTAAGAAAACATTGTGTTAAAATCAAACATGTACTGTGAGGGGTAGGCTGTGAAGTAAGATTGGGTAATTAAAAAAAAAATCTCATCAGAAATGAGCTTCTGAGCAGTAAGGAACTGAGAAACTGAGAGTAGCTCTGTTCCCTTTTATCAATGCTTTTGTAGAAACGTTGTCTCTACTCTGGCCCCTTTCATCTTTAGTCTATATCCTAGTACTTTCTGAGCACCTCACTTAGCTTTTCTTAAACTAATTCAAGTACCTAATAATAATAATGATGATAATGATTTCTTATATTTTAATCAAAATATTCAGTAATGCCTACATTTTTATTTGGCAGTGCTTGGAAGGCCTCTAAGGAAGCCAACTATCTCCACAATGAGATCTACTCTGAAGATAGTGTGTCCCATAGCATTAAATGTATAATCATTTTTAGCAATAGTAAAGTTGTTGTTTTTTCCAGTAGGTTCTGCCTTTATGCTAAAATAAAAAGGAGAAAACCTGTAAAGATAGATAGATAGATAGATAGATAGATAGATAGATAGATAGATAGATGATAGATAGATAGATAGATTAGACAGACAGACAGATAGATATGTGTGTGTGCCTGTGTGTGAAATGTGTCAATATAATGTGTGTGTGTGTGTGTGTGTGTGTGTGTGTGTGTGTGTGTGTGTTAAATCTCTAGGGAAAGGGTCTCTTACCTCTTTCTTATCCAAGTAAGGCAGAATTTTGAAGTTTGGAGCTAACTGATCATCCATATGAACGTACATACTCTGTAACTCAACAATATTTGAGTTGCTTTAAAACAATTGTTCTCATGTTGTTGCAGACATCGTATTTCTACTTCTTCTGGGGCACGAAGAAGTTGGTTGTAAGCAGTTAGTAGAGTGTGAGTGCATGTGTTTTAACTGAATAACTTAGCTGACCCCCTGCCAGGATGACTGAATTAGCCAACTGGCAGCTTAACTGGAGGACACTCGACTGGGGTCTTGGCCCAGTTCCTGGGAATGGTGGCTACACCCTCCCAGAAACGCACTCTCTCTGTCCTTGGGCAACCAATGCCCTCAAATCTGAGAATGCATTTCCCGTGCATTTCCATCCCAGCCCTGGCTCTCTTGAAGGCGTCTCTGCAGAGCAGCTCAAGACTCCAGGGGGAGTCTCCTCTAATTACAATTGCGGGGGGGGGGGGGGGGGGGGGGCGGGGCGGGGGGGGGGGGCGGGACGGGGAAGCTTTATCTCCTGCTAGGCTTCCCAGCTGCTTAGTTCCGGATCAGCCTGGAGCCTACCAAGTAAATAAATAAGTAAATAAATAAATAGTTCATTCCTGCACTCCTGCCCACATAAGATACCTCAAGAAGGCGGCTTTCCCCAATCCTCCCAGTGCTAGGAAGGGGAGCAAAGGTGTTATCCCAAAGTACCAGGAGGAGGGTTACTGTTTGCTTTGTTATTTAGAGGAGAGGCTAGTATGCAGTGTGTGTGTGGGGGGGGGGGGGGGCGAGGGGGGGTGCACAGGGAAATAAGTAGGGGAGAGGAATAGGCAAAGCCCGGTGCCCTGGCTCCCCTTGGAGCCTCAGAGAGCGGCACACATCGTAATTCCCTTTCTAGAGCCTTACAGATTTCCACAAACAATGACATCACTGGGGCGCTTCAGACCAGATTACAGCTGGGGGTATTTTCCTGGGAGCAAGGCGGGCGGGGTGGAGAGATGGAGGAGCTCTCCGGGGTGCTGAAAGGGGCGGGGGCGCGGGCTCTGGTAGGTGCCCCTAGCTGGCGCTGGCGGAGGCAGACTGCCGAGCTGGGGGCGGACTGGGGAGGGCCCGGGGTGGCCCAGGGCAGGGCTCACTGCTTCTCTGGTTCTCATTGGCTGCTGGCGGGCGCACGTCACTCAGACTGGTGCTCTCCTCCCGCCCCTGGGGAATTGGAGCTGAGGAGGAGCTGAAAATGCAGATTTAGCATCAAGCACAGACATACACTCGCTCTTTCTCTCAGATACACACAGCTCCTCACATTCGCACCTCTGCCAGCGAGTCGGGCCGCCTGACTACACAGCTTCCCAGCCAGCCAGATGCTAGAGATCACACATTAATTTGCGGCTTCCCAAGCCCCTAATCAGTCTCTTTTTCTACACAAAGATTCCTTTAAAAAACAAACAAACTACATCTATATATATTTCTTATTTGCACCTTTCTCCTGGGTCCCCTGCTCCGCCAGCCTGTGCGCCTCCTAGCACCACTTTTCACTCCCAAAGAAAGATGAAAGGTGGCTGTGCCTCCCAGTGGAAGGCGGCCGCCGGGCTTCTCTTCTGTGTCATGGTTTTTGCATCGGCCAAGAGACCGGTCTTCACGAATAATTTTCTTGTGGAGTTGCATAAAGGAGGAGAGGAAGAAGCTCGCCAAGTTGCAGCAGAACACGGCTTTGGAGTCCGAAAGGTAAGATCTCCCTTGCATTTCGCTTGTTGTTTCAAAACGGGGACACAGTCCTGCGTAATCTCATTGCAGAATTTGCAAGTTTTCTCTCTCCTGCGATGCAGACATTCTGCCATCGGCTCTTTAACACGATTTTGCCTCCAGCGATCTATCCCATGTTATGTAATTAAAACGTCCTTCAAGTGTGCTAGTAAGGTCATAAAAACAGTGTATTGTTCTTCGGGCGAAAATAGGATAACACCTTTCAAACAATGCCCTGCGCCCGGGCTGCTGTCCGAGGTACCAAGTTCTCAAGGCTGCTTGGGGATGGAGGGCTGAGGTGCTGAACATCCTGGTTTGGCGTTGGCTGCCTTGCTAGGGACGTATCTATCTATTCCCACTCCCATCCCCAGAGAAAGAGTAGTTTCTGACAGACAGGGCTAGACGCTTGGGCATTGCGATTTATCTCCGCGCTTTTCAGACCCCGCGCCAGGAGGACTTCCCTCCCGGTGACTTGGGCCCCTGCTCTTTCCCAGGGAAAGCAGCTCCCCCGGCTCCAGGAGACTTGGAAACCTGAACTGGTTTTTCTTTCCAAAATTTGGGCTGAACTTCTCGAGCTCGCCCCAGCCCACCCCAGACCCGGACTCCTTGTTAGCTCTCAAATTCACGAGGCAGAGATGCAGGAGCTAGAAAGATAGATTCTGAGGGGGAGTGCTCCGCGGAGAAGTGCAGGTGGCTCTCCTGGTGTGTGGGCGGCCAGCGTGGCTTTCCCAGGAGGACGCGGGGATCCCCACTCCAAGAAGTTGGCAGAGTGCAACCATTTGGGCACCGGGATGAGGCTTCCTGTCTGGAATGCCTGGGGACTCCTTTGGAGAGTCCGAGGTTCCCATTCTGGGAGGGCGAGGGGGAGGAGAGCGCTAGGTGGGGACCTACTCACTCTTCCTGCGAAATGTCCAGGCAGGGATCTCACGTGTCCTTAAGGAACCTGACACGAGGTGGGCTAAAGTGAGGGTGCCAGGAGAAACCGGGGCGAGGGGAAACGTGGAGGACGTAGGGTGCGATTTGGCAACCAGAGAGCCTGGTGGAATCTGTGGGTTTCTGTCAGGGCCCCATCTCCTTGCCCCTGATCCCAGGAGAGAGGCTTGAGAGGAGCGGGGTGGAAGCTCTCCTTAGCTGCTTTAGCCTCTCAAGGGCAGCGCGAACTGGAACTCCTGGCGGTCCTTCAGCCCTGACTTTCCACGCCTCCCGCCTTCCTCCCAGCCTCCGGAGGGCTCCCGCACTTGCTGCGGGCTCCCCCGCCTCCCTGGGGCGTTGGCAGCCACGATTGGGACCCAAGTTGGGTTGGACAGCGCGTTTGCCAGAGGTCTGGGCGGAGGCGCCCGGTCCGCCAGCGGCGCGTGGGCGGGTCTCGCAGAGGGAACTTGTTGCTCCGGGGAAGCGTAGGAGGAGCAGGGGCGAGACAGCCCAGCGGAGCAAGCGGTCCGCCCGCTGAGGTTCTGGCCCAGGGCCTGTGGGCTGTTTCAAGAGTGGCGCCAGCAAAATAAGCAAGCAGACCCTCTCCTTCCTTCCCACCTTCCTGACCAAACTTGGCAAGATATAGGACCCAGGCGCCATACATACAACAGTCATTATTATTAGCTGACAGTTATAGGGCACCTTTATGTGCCGGAGTTTTTATATCCTTATTTGCTATTCTCAACCACTCTTAGGAAACTACTATTATTATGGAGCCGATGGTACTGATAAGGAAATGGACTAAATAAGGCCCGAGATAAAAACAACCATGGATTTAAACCCAGATCTTTCAGAGGTGAACTCGTGCTCTTTAAACCTAGTTCATACCAAACCAAGCTCAGGGCTCTGCGGGTATGTGGGCTTCGGGGTATGCTGAAAAGGATTGTGGCATCGGGCTCTTTAGTTGTTGAGAGTAAAGGACTGCAGCTGATGCAGAAATAGCCTTGCTCTCTCCCCTTACCCTGCACCATTTCATAGAGTAAGCAGGCATTGCCATCTCCTCTTTTGAAAATATGCCCCTGGGATCTCATCTTAGAAACATAATCAAATCTACGTGTAGCTGACATTAATAATGTTAACTTATTAATTGTCCAAGAGGATTACTTTTTCTGTATAGAGGCAAACAACTTCATGAGGGATTACAGTTTTGATGATGGAATTTGAGCAAGAAGGTGTAGAGACAATCTCAACATAAATGAGTCTGGATCACGTCAATACACTTACCTTAAAATCTCAGGCAACTTGGTGAAACCGGTTTGGCTCAGTGGATAGAGCGTCGGCCTGCGGACTGAAGGGTCCCAGGTTCGATTCCGGTCAAGGGCACTACCTGGGTTGCAGGCACATCCCCAGTGGGAGATGTGCAGGAGGCAGCTGATCGATGTTTCTCTCTCATCGATGTTTCTAACTCTCTATCTCTCTCCCTTCCTCTCTGTAAAAAATCAATAAAATATGTTAAAAAAAAAATCTCAGGCAACTCATTCTTTGGGTGAAATCAGATACCTAAGTCTCTTTCTCCCCCATTATTTCTTGGAGAGGAGCCCACTGGTTTTGCAGCACAGCCTCAAACCTGCAATTGCTATCTAGGAGAAATGGGCTTTTGCCTTGCCATTTCTTTCCTTACCGCTTCCTAACTGCTCAGAAGTAAGATTGCTTATCCAAATTATTTTTGCTCTGATTCATGTTTAAGTAAAAGATACTTCTGTCTGATGAATCTTTGCAGGATGCTACACCTGTCTAGAATTAACTCTCTCCCCCCTCCCATCACCACCACCATCACCCCCACCCCCACACACCCCCAACCCCCCCCCCCCCCCTTGGATCCATGTCCCACTCATCCTTTGAGACTGAGTTCCAGACCTTCCCTGACCTGATGCTATGGATTACACTGAGTTTTCCCTTCCCCAAATTCCTGTGGGACAAAAAGCAAAGCCTCTGTGACATAAGCTAAGACAGCTATCACTTCTCCTCTAGACATTTCACATGTGTGAGTGAAAATGGTTGTAAGTATTGCCTTTCCACTTGAAAGGTAAATATTCAGGGATAGCTTCTGTATTTCTGGTTTTGTCGCCATTGTCAGTATATTATTGGGCTTGCCAGCCTGTACGGAAACTTCCTTAATTGTATTTATTACTCTAGGTTCCCTAAACACTGTGCTGCCTTGTTTTCATCCTGCTGAACTGTGCTTTTGTCATTTGTTATTCGCTTTTTATTTAAAACCCCCCAAACCTCCTTCTCTTTTCTCTCTCTAACACTTAGTATACTTCCCAACTCCCACTACCCCATCTTCTCAGAGACTCAGGGTCAGACAGCAAAGATTCTCAGTAATTATTTTTTCATCCAAAGAAACGCCAGCTGTGCAGACTAGAGGAACCAGCTATTCTACTAACTTACATCACTTAACCTCACAAACCTCTGAAGTAGAAATTATTGGTATCAGCCCTAGTTCTCAGATGAAAAACTTCAAGTTTCAGGAAGTTAAATAACTGCTCATATCTGAAAAGTGAGAAAATAAAAGCCAGATTTAAAACCAAGTTTTCTCTACCAAAAATAATTTTGTTTTCCTATGATGCTGCTTTCAGGAATCTTTTCCTGACTGCCAAGAGCTCTGCCTTTGGGTACTACCTTTAGAGTCCTGTTATTTATTTTTATTTTTTTCTCTTTACTTCTTTATTTATCTAATACATATTTAGCATTAACATACAGAACGGGGCAAAAGTAGGTTTACAGCTATTCATATGGAAAATAATAATGTGTTTTGTGTACTCACAACTACTTTTGCCCCATTCTGTACAAACCTTTGTCATTAACTAATGTGAATGAGTATGTATTTCTTTAGGTATATCATACATCTTCCAAGAGGAGAAACAATATACAATGTCTTCTTATAGTTTTTATATTTAGCACAGTAGCCTGTATATGAGGTATTCAGTGAATATTGTTGAATATTTTGCAAGACTCTTACAACACCATGAGCAAGCATTATATTTCCTCTCTAAAATGAAATAAAAAATGCCTTTAACTTTACCCTCTGAAAGGTTTGATGGGACTAAAGTTTTTTATTTTATCATGGCCTCGCCCAAATATGTATGTTCATCAGAGAAGATGCATATGTCTAGGAGAGTGAATGAATTTATAATAATAACAAAGGTGTTATTCCAAAGATTGTCTTAAAATTCTCACTACACTATTAAATTTAATTCCCTTAGGGAAAAATATTTATTAAAGCAATATGTTGTAAGTTCACCAAAAATCAAGTAACAATTAGGATAAAAATCCAAACAGTTACAATTAGCTATTTTTGCTTTGCTATGATATGTTTTTGTGTTTTTAAAACATATTTTTATTGATTTCATTCAGAGAGGAAGGGGAAGGGAGAGAGAGAAACATCAATGATGAGAGAGAGAATCATTGATCGGCTGCCTCCTACACGCTCCACACTGGAAATCAAGCTTGCAACCCAGTCATGCGCCCTGACTGGGAATCAAACCATGACCTCCTGATTCATAGGTCGATGCTCAACCACTGAGCCACACCAGCCAGGCTGTTTTGTGTTTTATGCTTGTAGAACTGAGGCTGGGATGATTGCATGAGTAAAATCATGTGAATACTTTTATATGTATGAAAGTTTAAAAAAAAAATTCTATCTAATAATACCTGTGCTCTTGGGTAATGAAATAATAAAATTTTGGTTATTTTAATTTTATTGAAGTATAATCTATTTTAGGAAAGACCACAGCTTTTCACCAACTAGGTGCTCATGTGTAACCAGCACCCAAATCAAGAAATTAAATGTTATAGGCATCCCATAAGTCCCCCTCTTGCTCACTTGGGTAGTTTTTAGTTTTAGGCTATTATAAATATTTCCTCTGTGGATACTGTGCTATAGGTATTTTGGTGAAACCATGCATGGCTTTCTGTTGGGAACATTTATAAAAATAGAAATGTTGAGTCAAGGGGCATGCATACATTCCACTTTAAGAGACTGTATCAGTTTTCTATTGCTGTGTAAT